CTTTCTTGTATATCAAATAGATTAAAACTAGAGGATTTATCTGTATTTTTCTGCATATTCTTCAGCAAGAACTGGTATTAGCAAAAAGACAATGTCGAAGAAGCAGCACTTGTTGTAACTGCTACTGAGAACGATGAGCAACTTTGGCAGTGCTGGATATATTTTTAGTGTTCTTGTTCAAAACCAGAAGAGAGAAAAACGCTGTCAAAAGAATGTTCCCAGTGAATGGAGTAATTGCAGCTGATTGGCTGTAAGTGATGTCATGCTTTCAGTAGATGGTTGTAGCCTGGTTCACATTACAGTTGTTTTACTAACGTTCTGGGGTCAATTAGCAATTTAACCTCGGAACATTGGGGAAGAAATTTCCAAAGTGAAACAGGGCTTTTAGAGAGAATGATAGGAGAGGAGAGTAAATACAATGCAATCGAGAGATCTGTGGGAAAACACAAGTTTGGTTCCTATTACAACTGAATATGTTAAAAGCTGGGAAACGTCACCTCAAAAACAAAACCTAGGTGATTCTTCCCTGACATTGTAATTTGCAAGATGAATGTCGTAATAGTTGGCAGAATCTGAGGTTTTGCTTACTGACTTTCCCGACTTTGTGCAGGCATTAAATTGTAATGTACATGAGGCAAATGTGCTATTTCCCTCTTGCTGAATTACTGATATTTGATGCATCCCAAATCTAACGGGGCAGTGATTTTGTAATGAACTTGTTTCCCAACCAGATGACTAGAGTTTAAAGCCCAGGGCTGCTTATGTATTTTGATTTTGGCAATTATATCTTCATGGTCAGACTGCTAAAGTTGTTGATTGTGATGCCCACAGCCTAAAAGGTGGAAAATCATGCTCCTGATTTATCATGTCTCATTTAAAGGTACGAACACTAAGATGGTCAACGAGAATTTCCAGAAAATAACTACTTCGCCTTCGCATTCAATTTGTTTGCAGATCAGTTTTCACTACTTTCTAATAGATTTTATTTTAAACATATGAATTTGTAAATCATTGAAACATTTTTTTGATTTGGCTTGGTGTTCATGTGATCTGTCTTATTTGAGGAAAAATGTATAATGCAACTCTGAAAGCATTATCAGCTAGTCTTAAATCTTTTAGTTGCCAACTAACTTTCCACACAGTTATATACATATATATGTTTCCTGTATGTTCCTCCTTTCGTCTCGTGATTTCTTCTCTGCCTTTTAAGTGTGATAATAGTATTAATAATATAATGTCTAGCACTTATTGTCTTGGAATTACAAGACATTGAAATGTTGATATGACAATATCAGAACTTAAATAGCACACATGAGGCAACACAAAGCTTTAGGAATCCAGTCGATTAGGGTTTTAGCAAGATTTTGTTTTGGTGAAAGTCCCTGCAAATTGGTAATTACACACTGAAGAACTGCACAGTCTGGGCCAAATACCATTAAATAACGCTACAGTTTGTAAAGTATTATTTGAAGAAATTAATAAAAAACGTAGAAAGTTGTGTTTTCAATATTGGAATTAAAAAGCTTTGTTATTAAGTCATTGGTTGCCCATTGAAGTTGACGACCAGACATTTTTCAGCAAATAAAACCTGTTTAGCAAAATTGATAACAATTGGCCATTTAGCATATACTGTTTAATTTTTAAAAATTAACAGTTTCATAGAAAACAGTCGAAACTGATATATATTTTAAATGAAGTTATTACTTCCCCGGCGACTAAATTTTTAATGTCATTTGTTTACATTGCATGCTTTATTGTGTGAATGTGAGGGCAGTGGCACCAAGCTTTGATGGATTAAGTCACATTGAGATTCTCATGTTCTTAAAGCTGCTATGACTTGCTTGTAAATTGAATCATTTAGAATCTAAGATGTTGAGTTGAAGGTTATACAATGTTGATTACATAATAATCCTTTTGACATTAAACTGATATATATGCATGTATAGTATAGTTTTCGTTTAGTACTTTGCTGAATTTTCTTTGTAGGTTTTGTCTTCTTTCTTAGCAGAAATTATTGTTTTTTATATTGCTGAAACAGATGCTTATAATTAGAGGAATACGTAGAATTGCAAAAGATTGCTTGTTTATAGTTTTACTTTGAATAAATCATGAAGCTTTCAGCCTTTCATTAGAATTTTAGTACAAAGCAACCATTATAATTAATGCGTATTAAGATTGAAGTTAGCATATTTGAGTAACCTTGTGACTTCTTACATTGAAAATGTGACTTTAGTTGTTTTGTGTATCATTTAGGAAACTTAGTTCAACATTTTATAATGGCTGAACTTGGTTATTTAAAGTTACCTTCACTAAGAAGTATAGTTTTTAGTTTATGAGCATTATTCCTTGTACCAATAATAGAAATATTGTAAGTGTGCAAATTCTGTATTTGACATCATGCTTGAAGAATGGCTGCCCAGGTGAGACTTGGGAAGAAGTATGCAAAAGTGCAATTTTTTAACAAATAAGACTTTAAACTTCAGCAGGACTACATGACTCTCTTAAATTTCATGGTACCTACAATTATGTACCAATACAAAAATAAGACCTGATAAAACATGTGAATTCATTGATGCAGGTGTGTAGTGCAAATATTAAAAGAAATCGAAACCTGGTCTACTATTTACTATTAGCGACTTATGATCCGCAAGTACTATATTTATTTAGATCACAAAGAGAATGATAGTAGCTTGTAACATAACCACATAGTAAATAACTTTGATTTACTTTCAGTATTAAAACAAACGTGTCCCATGTTTCTTAACTAACCTTTTCCAATTGGTCTTTACTGTAGTTTTATGAATTTAAATGTTTTTATTGTTGGAGCTCTATGCTCACGACATTTTGGTTTCCCTTAGCTGAGCACTTGTTAAATATACTTTAAAATTATGCGGAAAGAAAATTGCAAAAGTCAAAGTGAAAGTATAATCGGGATAAAACAATAAAGTCAGAGTCTGAAAGTAATTCTGCTAATACCACACAACAGTAGATATTACTATGTTCAATCCTTGAGCAACTGCATATCAGATCATAAGCATATCATAAATATGCTTTAAAAAAGCCTTAATTGTACCCAACCCATTCCGGTTGAAAGAAGTTTTTGAACATTTTTTTCCAAAGTTTTCCAAAGCCACACTTGACATGAGGCAGCCTGCAATATTCCTTATCACTGCTATTGGGGAAAAGTTGTAGCTTTAAAAATGTTGAAGAAGGACTTCCATTCTAAAAGAATTGTAGTCTGTGAACTTGTTCAGCACTATTTCTACAAAGATTGGGGCCAGTGCTAGAGACTACTTTGAGTTTTGGCTTGAGGCTTTAATGTCTTTGCATTTTATGATATCTTTGCAGATGCATCTTTAGTAAAGTATAAAATCAGACCACACAAGTAGATCCTGCTGCTGATCTTTGCTTATTAATTAATTTATAGCACACACTGATATGTAGTTGCTCAATGATTAAACATAGTAACTTTATTATCTACTGTTCTGTGGTGAGATCAGAATCACTTTCAGATGCTGACTTTATTGTTTTATCCTGAGTATACTTTCGCTTTGACTTTTGGAATTTTCTTGCATAATTTTTTCCATTTTTGTGCAAAGGATAGATTAACACCAGGGGATGGAAAATTGTTAACTTGATCACTAGAATTAAACCCTGGGCTAAGCACATGCTTATTCAATGAACAGTTGAAATGTATAATTTTACGAATGTACACTGAAATGTTTTGGTAACTACATTGCCTTCACAAGAAGTCACTCCTGTTTCTGATTTATTGTTAATCCAACTTTGCTCAGCACAGTGATATTTTTAAAACAAGTTGACACTATGTAAACTATATTCTTCTGTTAGTGTAGCCTTTGCAAGTACTGTATCAAATTAGCTGTTAAAGTACGTTTTACTCCGAAGAAATTATGTGGCACAAACTGTCCACTGTACATGCAATACTCGCTTTTCAATATTACGAGCAAATCTGAAGAATATTTTCAAATTTGTGCCACAATGACCTTATATAAATTAAAAGTTAAAACACTTGAATGCAAGACACATGAAAAGGCAGAGTTCCTGGCTCATCGTCTGTGTTTATGACAGCGATGTTTAAAACATATATTTTTAATGCATATGTACACTTATTGCAGGAAGAAAATGAGTTTTAATTCTTAGGGATGGGCTCTTTGTTGAACAAAACTGCATGAAATAAATTGTTCTTTTCTTGGAAGAGGATGATGGAACACATCTGTGTTACAAAAGTGTTATGGAACATATCTAACTTTTTAATTAAGAACATGCCTAAGAGTCAAGACAAAAAATATTCAGAGAGATAGGGGAATATCAGCCTTAAGACTTAAGATATAGTTCACAGCTTGTTAGACCATACAACACTGACAATGATACTAATGTACAAGTGATTACTTGTTTTCTGAAATGAGTTAACTTCAGACTATAAGTTATGGCTCTTCTCAACTCGCCATAATTTTAACTAATGTTTAATACAGTGTACTGAGAATTGTGTTAAAATGTTACTGCTCACAGCATACAATACTCTACTACTTATTGACAGAGTACTAATAAAAAGTCAAGGACACTTGTGTATTACAGGTGAAAATTGGACCAATACATTACTCATTAAAACAGAACGAACGACTTCGAACTTACGTTTATAACCTTCTGTAGTGAACACTACCAATTTGACTACTTTTGAACAGCAGTCAAATGAACAACATTATCAATACAATGATTTATAAGTGAACTACTTCAATGTCTATTTTGGATGTTTCCAACTTCCTTGAACATGTAAACTCACCCCAGCTAAGACCATGGCCCCGCCCCCAAAACCTTTTCTTCACAAGCTGAATTGGTTGTAATCGGGGTTTTGACTGTCGAATGAAACAGTTTTTTTTTGGCAGCTGTAATTCTAATTCTACTGTAAGTTCAAGTTTTAAAGAAACCCATCTGGGGGGGAAAAAAAAGTTTTACCACTTTTGGCATTGTTTCTCCCCTACCTGAAGCCTGCAGATTGTGAAGTTCCATTGCTCGTTTCTGGGAATGAGAGCACTGAGGCAGTATGATGGTGCGATGTAGCCTTCCAGTGATCAGCGATGTGAACATTCCGACAGTAACGCCAAACAATGAGAGATGTGCTCTTTGCATCCTCTAGCCAGTGGCCCATTACGTCAGATCATTGCCATATATGGTGCTCTGTTGTGCAGACCTGGAGTGTCTGACTGCAGCTCCCTGATAGCCAGGACTAGGAAGCTTATTACTGCACTTTGGCTCCAGCTGACGTTCAGGGTTCTGTGAAATAATGTGTTTGTCTACTCAGTTCTCAGCCAAGAAGAATGTGCGGAAGGCTTTAGGTTACAGAATTTCCTACTTACCATTGATTGCACTGTCATTACTGGAACAGTGGCTAAATGGTGTTGCCGAATTTCTAAAAAAGGTTTTTCTCATGTTTATTTACGAATTTATTACACCCGATTATGAATGCAGTTTAGGCTTTCAGTTCACTGTTGTTAATTAAGAAAGCTGCAGCTGTGTTTAACAGCATCAAAGTTGCACTGTTGTCTTGGCTTCAAATAAGTTACAAACTGAAACAATAATATCTCAAAATATCTATACTGCATCAATCATGAAATCTATGTAATTTCATAGAAAGCAGAGAAGTAATTTTATCTGTACTGTACAAAAAGCAGAGCTTTCCTTTTTAGTTTTTTTTAAAGTGTTCTGTATCAAAATTAGTGAGTAAGTTTTATCTAGAAATTCCTCTGACATCATTTCAACCCACAGGCAACATGATGTTATGGTGGAAGAAATTCTGGTGCCAGCATCAGGCTATATTTTGCACCTCTTCCAAAGTTGTGTGGTTAGCTGAATTTAAACCTATAAAAAAGGTCAGATAAGGGGACTTTGTACTAAAGTTCTCAATCTTTCACTTTCCACTGAAACTGCTTAGGGAGTGTATATTCATTGCTGGAATTAGAACAGAAAAATTAACAGAAAGATAAGGACAATGAGCTGAAACTTCTTTTAAAAAAAAAATCATGTGAAACACAGTATTAGGGATAGAGTGGCACAGAAAGCTAGAGAAAAACTCATGCTTCCCAAATAGGAATGTATTTCATATTTGTTTTACTCATTCAAGGCATGTGAACATCTTTGGTAAGGCCAGCATTTGTTGTTGATTCCCAATTACCCACCAGAATGTGGTTCTGAATGTCATCTTTGAGCTAGTGCAGTTCCTGTGGTGTGGGTACGGCTGCTGTAGCTACGTTGTTTCATATGGAATTCCAAAACTTTGCCCTGTGGTGGGGAGCCAAAGATGAGATATTTCCACGTCGCCATACTGTGTGACATGGAAGGGGAACTTGCAGCATTGCTTGGTGGCTTTTCCAAGCACCCAATGTCCTTGTCCTTCTAAGACTCGAAAGGTGCTGTTGAAGTTGCTGCACTGCCTCTTGTAGGTGGTGCACACTGCATCCCTCAATGTGGCAGTGGTGGAGTGAGTGAATATTTAAACTAGATGGGATACCATTCAAATGGTTAGCTTTAAGGACAGTGTCACTTTTTTGTGTGTTATTGGAGCTGCTTTAATCTAAGCAAGTGGAGAGTATTCGATGACATTCCTGAATTGTGCTGAGAATTCAGCTAATTTGCCTCTACTTTGGGGAGTCCGGAGATGAATTACTTGCTGCGTGACTCCCAACTTCTGATCTGCTCTTGTATCCATAATATTGAGACCAGTCTAGTTATGGTTCTGGTCAATGGTGACTCCAGGATTTTGGTGTGACATTTAGCTATAGAAATGGCTTTAAATGTCATAGGCAAAAGTTTAAACGCTCTTGTTGGAGATGGTTATTGCCTGACATTTGTGCAGTATTAATGATGTTTAGCATTTCTCAGCACAAGTCTCACAAGGTTTTCCTGCCAGTGACCGTTCAATGATCTGAGGAGTTATGAGTGGAACTGAACACTGTACAATCATCGCGCATTATGCCCAGTTCTGACCTTGGAATAAACAGGAGGTTATGGTAGCAGCTGAAGATGGTTGGGCCTATGAACCACCCTGAGAAGCTCATGCAATGTTTTTTGTGGTGAGGTTATTGTCCTGCAACAACATTGTCCATCTTCCTTTGTGCTTGATATGACTGTCTTTAGTTGAGGATTTTTTTTCCTCCAAGTTCTCATTGACTTGAATTTTGTTAGAATTCATTGCTGCCATTCTTGGTGAAATGTGGTCTTGATGCCAAGAGGAATTACTTTAACTTCACCTCTGGAATTCAGCTAATTTGCCTCTACTTGGACAAAAGCAATAAAAGTTTGGAAGCGAAGAAATCCTGGCAGATCCCAAACTGAACAACAGTGAGCAGATGAATGACTTCCACTAGACAGGACTAACAACAATATACTCCTCCACTTTGCTGATGATTGAGCATTGACTGATTGGGCAGTAATTTACTAAGTTGGATTTGTCCTGCATTTTGTTGACAGTGCAAAGCTGGGCACATTCCATTTTGTTGGCTAGATGCTAATGTTTTCACTGTACTGGACAGCTTGATGACTAATGACACAGTTAGTTTGAGAGCAAAAAACACACTTCATCTGAGGTATTGCCTGAGCTCATTGCATTGGACATGGCAAAGCCACTCAGCTCTTTCTTCATATCCCATGGAGAATTGATAGGCTGAAGACTGGCATTTATGTTGGTGGGGATCTCAGACAGAGACCAAAATAGATCTTTCATTTCTAACTGAAGTTACTAACAAATCTTCATCCTTGTCTTTTATATTAATGCACAGGGGCTCCCCATCATTGAAGAAGGGGATGTTCTTGAAGGCTTCCGGTCCAGTTAGCTTTTAATTGCCCACTATCATTCAGTGGATGTAGCAGCATTACAGAGCATTCCTCTAGACTGTTGCTTATAGGATTGCTTCGCTCTGTCTTTAACATTTTACATCTGCTGTTCAGCATGGCTGTAGTGCTGTGTTGTAGCTTCACCAGACTGGAATCTCAGCTTTAGTGCTGCTCCGCTGTTCTACATTTCTCATTGAACCAGGATTGATCTCCTTGCTTAATAGTAAGGGTGGAGTGAGGGAAGTGTCAAGCCATGAGGCCACAACTTGTGGCTGAATACAGTTCTGCTGCTAGATCTGTTTTGAATCTATACCATTTAGCAGGGTGGAAGATAGAACTTGGTATCAACAAAAGCTGTAGAGGACAGCATTTATGCAATGCTGGTGGGGGGGTGTTGTGGTTTGGAATGCTGGGGGAGGAAGGATGTTGATAGTTCGGATTGAGTGACCACACCCCCAATTTGTTGCATAAATGCTGCCCCCTCTACCCTTCATGTCAGCTCTGATGTAGAGTCATCTAGACTCGAAATGTTAGCTTGCCCTGTCCCCACAGATTCTGACTGACCCGCTGTGATCTCCAGCACTTTTTTTCAGTACAGATTCCAGCATCTGCAGTAATTTGTGCCTACTGTGGTACAACAGGTTGATTTGCGGAAATGAGGTACTGTAGGTTTTTCTGCCGTGTTGGTTTTTTCGCCAGCTGCCACCAAAATCATCTGACAGTTTTATCTTTCAGGCTTCTGCCAGTAGAGGTGCTACTGAGCCAGACATTATAATGGACATTGATGCTCCCTTCCCATTCTCTTCCCCTTCTACCCTCAGTGCTGCTTCCAAGTGGCATTTAATAAGGAAGAGCAAAGTAAGGGAGGGTGCAAGATGATAAATAAGATCCATGTTTTACCTGATGTTATGACACCTTACAGGGATCATAAATAAGCGTAGGTATTGGCCATACATCTCTTTGAGTCTACTCCATCATTGTCTCCCTCAACCTTGATTATATTCAGTAAATCAGCTTATGTAGCTCTCTAGCATAGACAATTCCAAAGATTTTCAAATCTCTGAGGAAAAAATGAAAATATCCTTATCTCCTTAAAAGGAAGTCTGTAAATGTGTACCCATGTTCTACATTCTCCCATGAAGAAAACATACTCTCAGCATCCATCCTGTCAAGTCCCCTCAAAATCTATCTAAGACCATCTCTCATTCTTCTCAACTCCAATGAGTGTAGACTCAACTTGCTCAAATATTTCTCCTAAAGCTACCATTTCACTCCTTGAGTCTACCTCGTGACCCTTCTCTGAACTGCCTCTGAACAATGCAAGTATATCCCATCTTAATTAAGAAAGTATACCCAGTACTTTAAATGTAGATTCATCAACAATTCAAAGTTATTAGCAAGATTTGTGACACTTATACTGCATCCTCCTTGCAGTAAAGGCTAAGATTTCATTTGTCTTCCAAATTAATTGCTGCACCTACATGCCAACACTTGTAGCTTGCAGACACTCCTCTGTACCACATTTAGTAGTCTTCCTCCATTTAAATATTTTGCTTTACTATTCTTCCTACTTAACCTATCTTTAAATCTTTTGCAGATTTTTTGTGTTTTCCTTGCAACCTGCTATCTTTGCATTATCTGTAAATTTAACAACAATATACTCAGTACTTTCAACCAGATCATCAATATTGATTGTAAACAGTTCTTTTATCATTTGTGGGATGTGGGCGTCGCTGGCTGGCCAGCATTTCTTGCCCGTCCCTAGTTGCCCTTGAGAAGGTGGACGTGAGCTGCCTTTTTGAACCGCTGCAGTCCTTCTGCTGTGGGGTGACCCACAATGCTATTAGGGAGGGAATTCCAGGTTTTTGACCCAGCGACAGTGAAGGAGCTTCATTAAATAATACCTAAGAATTATGAAATATCTTTTTAACTGTCGACTCTATTTTACATATATATGTATTTTTCCAGTCCATTCCAGCTATGTTTGTTTTCACACCTTTGTAATTGCCTTTATTTAAGTTCAACACACCAGTTTCTTACAATAAAACAGAATGTGGAATTCTTGCTTGTTATGATCACTCTTGCCAACAAGATCCTTTTCAATCAATTAATGAACGTTGACTCTTTGCATAACAGCATTAGTTTGTTTACTGATTGGTTCCAGACTTAACGTTGATGGCTCCTTAATGTTAAACCACCATATTGCTACATCTGATGGGTCAGTTTTGGCCGTGGGCATGGTGATAGAAGAGACTGGAATGTTGGCTGAAACATTGATGCTATGGTTGTGATAAATTTGACACTTACTTGCCTCGTCTCAGAGAGAGCTCCCCAGTTTTGGTACAGGTGTTACTGAAGAG